GTTCCTCAGCTCCTCTCTAGATTTATTAATCATGTCTTGCACTAGGGGCACAATTTCTCCTGTTATCTGAGAAATTATTTCATTTCATTTTTTCCAGATCCCCTTTTGTTGCCAGTTCAGTGGGTCCAGGTGATTGAGTATCAGAGTGTTCCATCTCATTTCCCTTTGGGGTTGTTGTAGGTGATTTGGAAGTCTGGTTTTGAGACTTATTTTCATGTTTTCTCATTTCGACTGGGGCGGGGGGCTGTTACCGCCTGCACGGATTACCTCCTCTGAGCTGGGAGAGGTGGGACAGGGGCCGGAAGCAGCAGTAGGGATGGTGGCCCAAAAGCCCTTTCCTGTGGGCTGGGAGCAGGGGGTGGGATGGTGATCAGGATGCCCCTTCCTCTGGACCAGGAGCAGTGGGACAGTGGCTCAGAAGGCCCTACCTCTGGGCCGGGAGCAGCGGGACTCAGTACCATGGTCTGGTGGTCTGGTGTCCTCTGCGTCTTTGTTGTGTGGAACCAGGTGGCTGCCTGTCAGCAGTGGGGTGATTCGGCATCTTCCACGCAACTCAGGACCTCAGGTAGGGCATCCACAGACCTGCCTGTCTGCAGCAGGCTGATTCGGCATGTTCCGCGTGACTCGGGACCTCAGTAGGGCCATCTTTCCATTCTCTTATATCCTCCTCGATCTCCTTTTTCAGGGTGCTGTAGTTTTCAGTGCAGAGGTCTTTTGCATCCTTTGTTAGATCGATTCCTAGATATTTCATTTTTTTGGATGCTATTGTAAAAGGAATTATTTCCCTAATTTCTCTCTCAATGAGTTTGCTATTTGTGTATAAGAAGGCTATTGTTTTTTGAGTGTTGACCTTATATCCAGCTACTCTACTGAATCTGTCAATTAAGTCTAGAAGTCTTTTGGTAGAGCTTTTTGTGTCTTTTATGCTTAGCTTCTACCTATACCAATGGTTCTCAAAGGATGCTTTATAGATCAGAAACACCAGCATCATCTGTGAACCTAGTATTCAAATTTCCAGACCCTGGTCTAGACCAACAGATTCAGGAAGTCTGGAACTGAAGCCCAATCATCTGTTTGAAGCAGCCCTCTAGGGGATTGTGAGGCAGGCAACGTTTGAGATCCATGGCTCCATGAGGTCCTGCTTTTTGGCCTTTGGTAGATGCAATGGTAGAAAGTAGGAAGCAGAGAGGGGATGGCAAGGATATTCTCAAAGGCCATCTACTCTAGATTAACTAAATTTTCCTTAAGCTTAGAAACAAAAAGCCTTAAAAAGGAAACCCGCTAAAGTATGTCAACTTTGCAGGCTGGTTACCTGTAGAAATAACATCATTTTAACTATAGCACTTCAATGAACAAATGAAAAAATTGACATTTTTCCCCTTATAAATATAGTCAATGATCATTTTGTCATGTTGAAGTGTCTTCTGGAAATATCCCTGAGTTCCAAAGTCCTAGGTAGAGATTTAGCTGCATGACTCCAATTAGGCTCCATAAGGAAAGGAAAGAGGCAGCTGGAGCCATTGCCGCACAACACTTGGAGATGGTTACCTCTGGTAAGCAGTACTATCCTTCCCTGATACATCCTCTGATGTTCTGAAAGTGGTAGAAAGTATCTCACAGCCCTCTTCTTTCTCTTGATTCTATGGCCAATGCTCTTGATTCTGTGATCTTTTTCTATGAGGCATACCAGATTGTCAGCTTACTTTCTTAAATTAAAAAAAACAAAAAACAGAAAACTCCAGGCTAAGATATTCAAATTGCCAAACCAATGGTATCATGGGAGACTATTATAAAATCCTCTCTGAGTTAAGTCTGCATGCCTCAAAGAACAAAAAATTAATATACTGTCGTTACACAGTTGAGAGGGGAAATTAATTTATACAGAAACCTTTTCTAAGGCATGTTCAGACTGCCTGGATACTGCTCCAAATTGGAGTATTATCTGCCTTCCAAAAATAATACACCATATGCCCTAATCTGGCAGACTCAAAGATAATTATATGACTCTGGCAGAGCCAATATGCTTGCTAATAAATGGAAAAATGAGAACAATGCAAATCAAAGTTAAGTTTGACAGTAATTCAGAATTGTGGTAGGGAAGCTACCTGCTACAATTAAACATGGTGACAAGCAGAAAATAGGTCTCTCACATAGATTAAAGAGCCAATGCTGCTGTGAAAAGACCCATTTTTATCAAGGAATATTAACACAATAAAGGTAGTTGATAGTGGGTATGTGAGGCAGACTTATATGATTCTAAGCCATCTAGTACTTCCCTTTCTAATAATCCACTCACAGGGACTCGATGGGGGCTCTTCATAAAACCAAAATGAAAATGCCAAATTCCACACAATTACTTTCAGTTTTAAGCAAAGAAAACTAAATGCAAAATGTACTCTGGAAGTTGGATTTGCTTTAGCACAAATCTACTCCTGATATCAGACAACAGTATATTCTTCAGAGGTCTCATCTTTTTAGGGGAGTGGGTTTTTTCTAATTATTTTCTTGCAAAGCTACAAGGAATTTCTAACCTATATGGTCCTGACATGCATTAAAAAGTGCTAAACAACTAGAATTGTCAAATGTGACTCTACATGACTACAGAAAAAAAGATGTGAAGACCAAATAAAGTTGATGTTTATTGTACCTTGAAAAATAACTAATTTTTGATGAGAAAATTTATTTTCCTACAATTTTCTCTTTATCTCCCCCACCACAAACCCTCTGTTCCAGCCCCAACAAGTCTTCCTATCTTTAGAACAGAAGAAAAAACAGTGTCCTAGTAGTGAAAGAAAATTGGTATGGGGAACCTAAATTCTACATTTCAAAGCATTCAGCCTCTGGTGTGCTTTATCAAGAACCACCCAGAGTCCCAAGACACTCCTGGGGTAAGACATGGGTGCCTGGCAAGCCTTGTGTGAGGGGCTTTAGCTTAGAAGTACCTCTTGTCAGCCATGGGGGAAAAAAATCACTCATTGAGAACATGAACCCTTAGAGAAAGAGTCCCTCCCAGAATGCTAACAATAAGGCCCCACGAGTCACTCTTGCCAATTAAATTCCAGGAGAAAGACAGTGACAGATGTAGGAGTGCCAGTGGATTTGAGCCCTGACAGTACAAACTCTTTCACAAAGGAACTTGCATTGTACAGAGAAAAGCAGCAGTGATGAAATATTTACATATTTATAAACATCAAGACATTAACAAGCTTACCAGATTCATTCCATGCATTCTAAAGAGTAGTCCCAGGAAAGAGGGAGCAGAGATGTAGGCCTTGCTCAAGAGATGGCTACAAATGGCAAAGTCCAACCAGGATGCCCATCCCAGGAGGGCACCTGTCACTGACATTGCTTCAGGGATGACCTTTGATGTTCCATAGAAGAGATTATTACAAGCCCAGAACTTATTTAATAGAACACATCCTGTAGTATTTTCCAGTTCACTCCCAAGAGATGATCCTGGAAAGGAAAATAAGTGAGCATGCAGACCTTTATTTTCAGCTGAACTTGGGAACCTTATTCTCAGAGACTCAAAATGACCACAGGCTTAAGAAAAGCTCTGAGAAGTCCTGCAGTAAAGAAAGCTGATAAATGTTGTTTAACTCAACATTTTCCTGGACTTTTTTTGGCCATAAGAATCCTTTTATTCACTGATACATCTTATGTAGTCCCATCATCCTTCATCACACTGTGTAACATAGCGGAATTTAGAGAACCCCCTGTATTTGCTTATTCAGTATTTTCATGAATTAAACAATAGCACATTCCTTTTCTTGTGTGGAAGGTAGACAGTTTCCTTTGAGAGGAAAAAAAGAACTAGACTGGAGTGCTAATGAAGTTAAGTTTGATTCCAATCTTTTTTTTTAAATTTATTGCTCCTGTGCCAAGAGGCTAAGGTCAGACTTGTTTTTCTATAAAGACAAACATAAAAAGTACACCTACACTTTAGTTAATTCTCTGACACTTGGAAATAATGATAGAAAGTCAGGGGACAGTTCTGGGGTGAGCAGGGAGCTGGAAGTATTTCTGAAAAATGACTGAATCTGATTTCTGCTCCAATCTGTCTTCCTGCTATAGTTTTGGATAAGATACCTTTTTCATAAAGTGAAGCCGCTGAGTTGCTTATGAATTGATTTCCATTTGGGCTAATTTACTTATGAGCCACTCAGTATGGGTCACCTATCCTTATCTACCACCTCTAGGATCAGCCCTAAGTTCAGGTTGAGATGCAAAATATATCCTGGCTGAGGCAGGAATAATCTTTGAATACTCCCTTAACTTTTCTATATTAGCCAGTTGTTATCACAATGATATCACACAACAAAGAACCCAAAAACACAGGAGATACAAGGCATGTGTATTCAGTGTTCTCTGAGTCTGCTGGAATGATTCACTTTCAACTGCTGGTTGGCTGGTATGACTCCAAGCTATGGCTTGGGGCTGCTCTACTTGTATCTTCATTCTGATCCTTAATCTGAAGAGACAGCATTTTCTCCTTATAGTGGATCACTGGAACATAAGAGAGCCTGCTCAAAGACCCAAACACATGTAAGCTCTCTATGTCACATCTGCTAACAGCTACTGGACAAAGAAAGCTATACAGCCACAACATCAATAAGGTAGAAAACTGAATATTGCTGGACAATAATTCAAACTAGAAATCAGTTAGTCTGTTTTCTGTCTCTATAACTGAATATCACAGACTGGGTAATTTATGAAGAATAGAGATTTATTTAGCTCATGGTTTGGGAGGTCAGAAATTCAAAAGCATGGCCAGCATCTGATGAAGGTCTTCTAGTGCATAATAACTCAGTTGAGGGCTTCAGCTGATGATTCAGAGCAAGCTTGCTAGTTAGGGTCTCTCTTTTCATAAAGCCACTAATCTGTCTTGGAGGCTCTACCTTCACAGCTCCATCTAACCTTGGTCACCTCCCATAGACCTCACATCCTTTACATCCTGTATGAATTTTAGTCATATTTTCTACCCTCTTAATCTCATAAGAATGGCAAATAACAACATGACTTGGGGGCAAAGGGGACATTAATACCATAGTAAAATTCAATGTGGAAAGAATGGGAGGATGAACCCTGATGCTGGGGAGTGGCAATATTGATATGAGGAGACTCAATTCCATTTTCCAACCCAAAGGAGCCTGGCAGAGAAGATAATAAGAGATGAACCTCCGTAATAAGAAGTCCAGAAGCAAAATGGAGATCAAAAAAGATAAGTAGCAATGTATTCTCCTGGCTGGTTCCTACTTAGCCATCAGCCTTATTCTGGACTATTTCAGGCCAAATTTGCTAGAAAAACACAATGACCCACCACAGAGCTCCAAGGCAGCAGGCTAAGAGTAACCCAGCCCAACTCCCTACTTACCTTCAGACTGCAGGGCAGAAGCAAACGGTGCTTTTCAAGTCCCTTATTCTGTATCAGTTCAGCATTCTTTGTAATGAGGAGATACATGCCACCATCCTTCCAAATGGTTTCCCCTTTTTGAAGTCAGAAGTTTGTAAACTTTGCTTGAAGTTGCAATAACCTGGAGATTTCTGAAAAGTGGCTCTCATGTCACAGGTATTCTGATTTAATTGTTCTGGGGTACACCCAGGTACCAGAATTTTTAAGTTCCTCAGATAATTCTAATGAACAGCAAAGTTTAGAGCCCACTAGTTTGAAAATCTAATTTAACGTATCAGGCTTGCACAAGAGTTCATTTCAAATCAACAGCACAGTTTGGGATCAGCAGAACGGGATCCCAAACTGAGTGCGTGCATGGGAGCTAGAGAAATCCCAGGAGTCTTGCAGGAGAAATACAGGGGACTGTGGTGTAGCTCAGTGGTAGAGTACATGCTTAGCGCATGCGCGCGCGCGCGCGCGCGCACACACACACACACACACACACACACACACATACAATCCATTATCCCTTTTCTGAAACTTGAAAGGGTCTGAAAACAAAGTTTTTTTAAAACTCAGGGCAGTAAACCCTGACCTGACTTGAACTCACTTGGTACAAGACTCATGTATTTATAGTCTCTGTTCGTCTCACTTAGTGTAAATATCCATGCATTTTGCCAGGAATATATTAATATGTTTAATTACAGAGTGCTCTGCCAAACCCCAGTGGATTTGTTTTACAATACAGGGTATGCATGCCTTTCTACATTCTGAAAATTTCTGGATTCAGAAAACAAATGTGTGGCTCAAGCATTTAGGCTAAAGAAATATAGATTTAGAGAAGAAATTTTTTTTGTAATGTTCCTTGGCTATGAAGAGCAGAGAGAAAAGGGAAACAAAAGAAAATAAACCAAACAACATAGCCCCTGTGTGGTTTAGATAAAAGTGCCCATCTGGCTGGATTAATTAGAAAAAAGGAGCATTTGTAAGTAAACATAGCCCTTCACTAGGGATCATAGCAGAGAAGATAATAAGAGTCAAACACCAGATCAAAGGCTGAATTTTATATTCACTCACCTTCCTTAACCAGATCCTTTTTGTGCAGTGCACATACTACACAATCATACAGATGGCCTTAACAGGAAATTTACATAGCAGCTGGTGGATTTTTATAGCACAGCTCTTTCTAAGAACAAGGATGTCTAATACTCAACTTTTAGTTGTTTGTGTTAATGAAAAGAAAGTGTTTTTGCCTCCCAAAACTTTGGCAATTGCCTATACACAAAAGCTTAGGGATGAAATGTATGGAATGACCTATTAGGGTACATGCATGGATGATATGTCTAGCAGCATGCACAGGAGGGCATGTATAAGGTGGTAGGTGTGCTAGGATACCAAGCAGAGGAGGGTCAGAGTTCAAAGATAGAGCACTGGATTTTCCATAAACTGGCAATTGCCTTCAAGCTAATTTCATCCAACTAAGAAGGGACAGCGGTCTACTGTGACTCCAGCCAATGTTTGAGATACAGTAGCATTTAATTTATAACTAAACATAGTTACACTATCCAAGATGAGCCTCACAAAAACTCTAGGAGAATAGAGGAAGCTAAAGGAGGTAAGGTTATTTGCCCAATAAAAGCAGCCAAAACATAGCAAAGTCAGTTATTCAATCCAGGTATTTCTGCTGTTAAAGCCAATACTTAAAACCACTACTCTACTCCTACCTCATAGCAGAAATAACAGAACTGAGGGCTCCAAGGCCACTCTAACAAAAGCAAAAACGGTGTTCACCCAGTCCTTTTCATATGCAAGGGTACTGTTAAAACTATACCTAGAATACTACCCCATAATATTCTACCAGATTAACACAAGCATGTGAAACACTTGGCTAGGTCTTGCACATTTGTCTGTCTCCCAGTTCACCTTTATGTAAACCCTACAGTACAAATGTACTCAAAATTTCAGCTGCAATTTAAGGAGATGTTTTGCTTTGGGCATTTCATTTGTAGGATCCATAAAAATGAACCTCAAGTGTAGTTACTTAGAATGGAAAAAAAAAATGCCCTCATGTACTAGGTGAAACTGAAAACATTCACACCATTGTTGACAGTATTTATAAGGGTGTTTTCCATTACCTAAACTTTTGTGAATATGTAATAGGCCCAAGAAATTCAACCAATCAGAATGCAGCAGTATTCTAAGCCTCTGGCCAATCATACGTGTGATTGTTTGCCTAAACTTTGTCAAATCCAGTCATCAAATTGTGCTGGTGATTGATATGTCACTTAAGAAGTATAGATAAATTGAAAATATAAATTTCCTACTGATAGCGACTGTGGCAGACACTGCTGATTGTCAACAGCTAATTAGGCATCAAAAATTTATTCTCCCCAAAGGTGATGCTGGGCTACTACTTATAATCTATTTCCAGATCTGGATGTTGATCTTGCAGCTGTGTTAAGTTTGTGAAAATGAACTGGGCTGTCTATTTATCATATGTACTATTTTCTGACTGCTTGCTATGCTTCAATTAAATTTTTAACCAGTTATCCAGTCTATACAATATAAGCAAATGAAAAGAATAAAAAAGAAAAATGTGAGAGCAGCACCAAACCCCCATGCCAGTGCCCAAGCAGGCCCCTACCTGATATGTAGCACCTTTCTCCCAATGTAAACAAGCAGGTGCACCAGACAAGCAGGAACTCTTTTCCAGTGGAAGCAAGCAGACATGTGCCAGGCAGTGCCTCCCAACCCACTCAGACAAGTTGGCACAAGACAAAATATGGTCGCTCATGTGATGTTAGGGCAAGACCATCCACTAACTCCTAGCCAGCTCAGTATTTCCCCTTGGCACAGGCAACAGAAGTGAAGACTAGCAACCAAACTGATCCAACCTGATCCTGCATGAAGACAAAGTCCATGGACAGAAGCCAGCAACTAGACCCTGTGGCCATGAACATTAAGTCCAACCATTCATTTGAATGTACTCCCTGTAGCCTACATACAGCAGAGACCAGAGGGCTGGTTGCCCTTCCCATCTACCTATGGGAGCAAGGACACACCTTGATTTGGACAGTAACCACAGTCTCGGTGAACAGATAAAGGAGCTTCTAATGCAAGGAGCGCACCTCCAAAAACCAAAGGCCCTATGGGCTGGGGATTTAGCCCAGTGGTGCAATGCCTGCCTCACAACCACAAGATCCTGAGTTTGATCCCCAGTACAGAAGGGGAGAGAGGGGACCAATGAAGCTAGGCAGAGAAAAAGGAGACTGGCTGGATACCAAGGCTGCCAATCTTGGAAAGAAACTACTTATTCAAAAACACAGGAATTTTTTGTTTAACTCATTCTTTTTTATTATTATTATACTATTTTTTATTGTTTTTATCTTTCTTTCATTGGGTTTTGGGGGAGTTGGAGTTTTTTTCTCCTTTTTTCTCTCTTTCATTTTTTTCCTCCCCTTTTCTCTTCTCCTTTCAACTTTTTAAAAATCTTTCTTCTTTTTTATTTTTTTGCCTTTGGTTTATCTTTTTCTTTCTTCTTCACTCTTTCCTTTAACTGTTCTCTAACATTGTTCATTTCCTTTTACTCCTCAATAAACCCCCTACCTCACTTTTCTATTCTTCTCATATCCCATTGATTTATTTCTCAAATTTTGATTTTTTTCAAGACCCAAACCTCAGCTTCTTCTCAGTCTCATTTTTCTACCTTTCCTGTAATTTGTATGTGCTGCTGTGGCTCGCAGGAGACTAGGACTTACTGCAGAGGTTCTGGTAATGTCCCCTTCCTCTGTTCCCTACATTTGGCACCCAACATGGATGTGAATCGGATCCACAAGTGAACTCGCCTGTGAGACAAACTCAGAGTAAAAGAGACAACACACGGATCTCCCAGGACGATTTCTGGACTCGGACTCGCACACTGGTGGTCCCAGCACCCGGAAGGAAGCCCACACACACACACCCCCTGCCATCCCAAGCTCCTAGGGCAAAGAGTCTGAGCTGGTCCAGCACCCAAAAGGAAGCTCCCCCGCCACCATCCCAAGCCACGCTGGTGCCAGAAGCACACCCCACCCCCCACCCCATAGAAATGAGAAGACATGTAAGCAAGCCTCAAAAACAGACTTCTGGATCACCTACAGTAGCCCCAAAGGGAAATGAGATGGAACAATCTGATACTCAACTACCTGGACTCCCTGAACTGGCAACAAAAGAGGATCTGGGAAAAATGAAATCAGAAATAATTACTCATATAACAGCAAAGATTGTGCTCATGGTGCAAGACATGATTAATAAATCTAGAGAGGACACAAATAAAAAAATTTTTGATTTTTTTCATTCTCCTATTCCACACCCACTCTACCTTCACTAGTATGGCTACTAGGCTTTATGAATCTCTAGATGGCTACTTAAATTTACATTATTTCAGTTCTATTCTTAGCAGAGGTAAAGTTGTTCCATTTAGTAGATATTTAGGTCAATGTTAGGTTTGTCTTAGTGTTCACACTATACTTATAGATCTCTTTTCTATGGATAAAGATGGTATATTATCAGTCCTTAGGTTTTGTCAATACTCAGTTTGCATTTGACAGTATAATTAATGTTGATTTTATTGCTATATTCAAGGTGACATAGCTGTTGCTGTTAATTGGTTTTCATGGGATGCCAATATCTGAATTGCCATGGAGTCATTAACGATACTGTGGCTATTTCCTGGAGAACTTGGTACTGAGCCAAATATGCTGCATCCTTGCATCCCATGAATGGACATGCATGAGTGGATCCTAGGACAGAGGTAAAGGCCAAATATTAGCCATGCCCATAGGACAACACTGAAAAGGAGACAAAACAAAAGAGGTCTTCAACTAGAAACAAAGCTTTTTACTACAATGAACCAACAAGCTTCAACACTAAAAGCAAACAAAAAACAAAAAAAATAGAAACATGAGGAGGCGTGTCAACAAAATGGCTCCAAAATCTTCCAAATCCCCAAAGCTGATCCATGGGACATTGAAGGGGAAGAAACCAAAAGCCTTGCACCCCAATTACTTGAAAGGATATCAGAGGAAATAAAACAGATCAACAAGGCATTTAGCAAGCTTACAGAAGATATAAGTAACAAGATATTGGACCAAATTAAAAACATGATCAGCAA